CAGGTACAACATGAATATGTCTATCTCATCTACAACATGAGTGTACCTTCCTCAGGTACAACATGAATATGTCTATCTCATCTACAACATGAGTGTACCTTCCTCAGGTACAACATGAATATGTTATTCTCATGTACAACATGAGTGTATCTTCCTCAGGTACAACATGAATATGTTTTTCTCATCTACAACGTGAGTGTACCTTCCTCAGGTACAACATGAATATGTCTTTCTCATCTACAACGTGAGTGTACCTTCCTCAGGTACAACATGAATATGTCTTTCTCATCTACAACATGAGTGTATCTTCCTCAGGTACAACATGAATATGTCTTTCTCATCTACAACATGAGTGTACCTTCCTCAGGTATACATCAAAAAAGCAGTCAAAATACGAGATCACAAGACGAATTGAACACATTAACAACTCCTCAAAGTTCCTTATTTACGAACTATATCTTTGAAATATTCGTGTAATGCTGTTTATGTAAACATTAATTACTGATATGTATATAAATAAATAAATAACTTAATTCATAAGTGTAACTAGACGTATTTCCGCAAGGTCTCCGAAAGTGTTCTGTTTCAAGAGTAAATAAAACCCAAATTAACAGTAACAAATGTTTTTATTTCTTGCCTTTGAAGTTCATATGTCATGATTTGTTGTAGCCTACAGAGTGTATAATTCTTCGCGTGATCCAAAGTATGCGCACGTTTTACTGACGTCATGACAGTACAAATTGCAACGTTAAGCGTCCCTTATATGACGTCATTTTAGTATCTACTGACTGGCTGACAGACAACACACTACTGTACAGTGGTGCGAATGGTTAAAATAGGTGACTTCTTCAGGTGGCCTAAGGCTCCCTTCCGGGGGGAATAAGCAACACTAGACTTAATGAAGTTCACTGCTGGTAGACGAAGTCTTCGTTCGACAGACACTTGAAGAAAACCTGTGTTAATCATCATTTTCACACAATGTCCCATGATTGGACAGCAGTAAGTCTATGGACTTTCAACGCTAAAATCCGAGGTTTGATTTCCCAGTGGTGAACATGGCAAATATTCCGATGTGGCTGAACTATAAAAACACATACACTCGTTTTATCACAACAGATAATCGAGAAGCAGTGAACTATCTGTAGGAATGGCAATATCTTGAAGGTTAACTGCTTATAAGAGGTAAGGTATACAGTTATTAGAGGTGCATTGATTAGGTTTTATTTTCTTTATTTATTGTTTTAATGACCAGGAAATAAAGTAGTTTTGAAACCCTAATCCTTAACGGACGAAGTTTGTTTGAACGAGGGTTTCTCGTCTATTAACCACGCAACCAAACATTCTATTTGGGGCTGTATTCACGCCCCGCCGACTGCTCGGCAAGTTAGTAATTAAGTGCTTATATCGCTAACATTTAGGGTTCCATCCATGCAGTGAGCTCAGTTCAGATCATAGCATACAAAGTTATGCAAATAGTGAGGTATGTAATTGGTGGTTAGCGTTTCCTGAGGATGAATGCAACAGCGCATACCGATTTGTATCCAATGAAGCAAAATGATAAATAAGAACCCAGGAAAGCTAATGCTGACCGGTTTCACTTGTATTAGGAAGCTTTTAATGTTGACCCATTTCACCTGTGTTAGTGAGCTTTTGATATTGGCCAATTCCACCTGTATTAGTGAGCTTTTAATATTGACCAGTTTCACCTGTTTTTGGGAACTTTTAATGTTGACCAGTTCCACCTGTTTTAGGGAACTTTTAATGTTGACCAGTTCCACCTGTGTTAGTGAAAAGCTCACTAATACAGGTGAAACTGATCAACAT